CACCTCAGGCTAATAGGATTTAAACTTTTTTTTTTTTTTTTTTTTTTTTTTTTTTTTTTTTTTTTTTTTTTTTTTTTTTTTTTTACTTTTAATAGTTTTACTTCCAGGTTTCTAGAGCAGAGGGAAAAGTGAAAAACTGGCAAATACATTTAAAGAAAAGTTAAGAAAAAACAAACCCATGAAAAAGTCCTGGGGGCCTATTTATTGCCCTAAGAAAGGTCAGGTACCAAAGTGATTATATGGACCACACGTGTGAAACAGTGACCACGAAGTAGTCTGCATAAAATTCAACTGCATCACCGATTCAAGGGAGGAGCAGCAGGATCTGCACCTAAACCTCCCTCCCAACAACTAATGCAGCCAGTTTAGTGTGTCCTCCAGAAAACCTTTCAGCACAGGATGTATTTTACTTACTATGCACCTCTAAATTGCACTGTTCCTGTTCAGCTCGCCCACACACTATGAGATTGTCACTAGGTTTGATGAAGAAATCTTCACGTTCATATTGTTCCTAGGTGGACAGGCAAAAGGTCACTGGTTAGAGGTAGAGATCCAGCCAGGCTTTCTAATGGGAGCGTGACTAGGAAAGAGACATGGGTATTTACCGTATCTTTCAGTGTAACGTAAGGGTCTTGATCGTTGCTCCCGTAGACTGTAAGCCCCAAGAGAGATTCACCAAGAGTCTCAGCATCTGTACAAATTCACCAACCGAAATGAACACAGTGGTCCTCTTGACAAAAACAATTTCCTAAGATGTTGATCTTTGGACTGCCATCCAGCCACCTATTTTATAGGTAACTATAAATAATCCATAGTTGGGAAAGGAAACAGGGCAGGAATTTATGGGCCATTCATACTTCAACTTTGAAGTGGATTTCTGACAGGCTTGCAAACTTTCTTGATGATGGAATTCTTTTATGGCACATCTGAGTAGCATACCACAGGCCCAGAGTGACAGGAAGTTCAGGAAAAGGAAGATACACTGAACTGTCACGGAAAGTTCTTGCAGGAGGCAGGGTTGAAGGATCTTAGGCACCTGACATGCACAGAAGGTACTTTCGGGCCAGGGATTTAGCTCAGTGGTTCCACCACCCACTTCACAAGTGCAAGGACCCGAGTTTGATCCCTGGTACCAAAAAAAAAAAAGGAAGGGACTTTCTACGGCACACAGAGCCCATATTTAAAAATTCCAACACTGGGTATCCCACAATGTTTACCATCAACCCATAAGTGCCTAACTTTTAAAAAAATGTTGTGCCATGGAAATTTTCTAGTATGAATCAAAGAGAGGGCATAAAGAACTTTGAGCATTGTCACCTAGCTTTGATGATTATTTTCTCTATGCTATCTCTCCTAACCTGTATCTTCTCTCATAGCTGAGATTTTTCAAAGAAAATCCCAGAAAGCATATATTTTTATATTAAACCTCAAGTGTGTGATAACAGACACTATTTTCCCTAAGATCTCAGATTTATGTCTTAGAGCAGTGGATCAGAGCTTCTCTTTTCAACTAATTTAGGAAACACATTCTCTGTCTGGATTATGGGACTGAAAAGAGTAAAGATCCAGACACCACCTCACCAGTGCACTGAGCGTGCGTCTCACCTGGGCTGGTGTCCTCATCGTATCTGTCTAGGTCGTACTCAGCCAGCTCATCATCATCGAGTGTGTGGTCATCCTCAGGGTCGGCATCCTGTAGGGGCTCCCTGGGTCGTGCCTGGGTGCGGGCGCTCTGCATGCCATCTTCTGAGGGACTGCCTGCCTCCTCTTCATCACTGCCACCTTCTTCTCTATGAGAACAAAAACAAAAAGAAAAAAGAAATCACTCACATGGCACCTTCCAGTAAGGAGACCACCAAGCCATCAGGAGTTAAAACACACATTTCATCAGGACAGGACTACACAGGGCAATATTCCAAAACTTACTGTAACTTTTCCTTTGCTTCAGCAATGAGGCGCTTTACTTCATCTTTACTTAGCTCTACCTACAAGAGAACAAATGCTTCATCACTATATTTACTGAAATCATGGCAAGTCTTAGAATTCAAAAGGTTTGCAAACAAATGTGAAATAGAACTTCAAGAAACATCATCAAACACCAACCTTGGATCTCTTGATTTACTATAAATGGAATTCTTAGCCTCTCCTCTCTTCCCGATAGCATCCCTAACAAAACCACCCTTCCATTACTCCTCTGCTCTTTCCTCTATTGTCACTGACCAGTATTCACGCACAGCGCTCACATTCTTGCAAAGGTCATTCACCCTCAGGACAAAAGTCTTCACTTCTAAACTCATCACTCCGGACTTTGCCCTCTACTAACCTACCCTCCATTCCCACTCTTCCAACCACCTGTACAAGTCCCCACCTGGGCATCCTTAATCCGCAGAGTTCACCTCACCTCAGAACTGGCAGCCCACACCTAAGCAGTGCTTCAGTTCCTTCAAAATGCGCCTATCACCACTGAACTGTGAGCTCTTTCAGGACAGATGTTGGCTTCCCACTGTTAACCTTAGCACAGTTCAGTGCTTAAAATGATGCTCACTCACTCAAGCAATCACTCGGTTTCTACTAGGAAGCCTTTAATAATAATGAAATCCTCTCAAGGACGACCTCCCACTATGGGAAGCGCTAGAAATTAAAGGTTAAATTTAATTTTGACTTGTTTTCTACTTCAACAAATTTTAAGTCATTTTCTGCCCCTAGTCTATAACGAGTGCATGCTGTAAGCCAAACGTCAGAAACTGTAAAGAAAACACATCCGTGTCCTGGTGGCATTCACATCTCCGGGCCTGTTCCAAGCCCTCACGCCCACGAACCGCTGTCCAAGCCGCTCCGTTCCGATCACGTCCCTACGTGGCATCAGACCCCTTCACACCTTTTATGACACTGGCTCCTGCTGACACCCTACCTAGAGGCGGGGCCTGTTTCACGTCCGTCCTAAAAACCCTGAATGAGGCCAGGCCTGTGGAAAGCACCCAGCATCCGATGAAAAAATACCCCGAAGTAACCTCCATTGCGCGACAGACTCGGTCTCCGCCTCCTGCAGCATTTCCTTTCATAACGTGTCACATCCGCTGCACACTCCCACATAGATGCCAAGAAATTCCCAGTTCGACTGCAGCCTCAGACACCGGTGCCCCACGCCACAGCCGCGGGCGGGCCTGGTGCACGCCGACTCCATAAAATAATATGCATCTTAACCCATTTTATTTAACCCATTCCAGCAATCATTTTCCTGTTGTCACCCTCATCCCAATCTGTTCTCCAGTGCACAACCAAAAAGTCAGCCTGCAAGATCTTTATTGATAATGTCATTAGTTGAAAAGAATTAGAGCTTCTGCTAGCCATTTTTCATCCAAACTCCCCACAGTGCCTTCTATCATAACGTCCTGGCAATCAGGAGCAAGAGTTATCTTTTCCTCTGCCTCTGGGACTCAAAACTCACTGACA